AAAATTTTTTTGGGCCCGTTATACAGCCCAGTGCGTAGGACATATAAACCCTGTTATTTTGTGATTAGGGTTAGTTGTGGATTGTACAGCCGCTCTCTGTAATTCAACTCTCTCAATAGTGAAATCCCTGCAGCTTCGTGGACGTAGGCAAATTGCCGAACCACGTAAAATCTGTATCTCTTTCTTTCTAGCTTTTTATTGCTTTATATCTTGATTTTTTCTTCGATTGTGTGTGTTTGTTAGTGAATTTAAATCGTGTTAAATCCCAACACCATTGACTTCTACACTGATACCTTTAATAACATCTATGGTCTCTTCCTCTGCAGTGGCGATGTAAATGCCTCTACCTGCCAGAACTGTGTCACTGGCTCCAGGGAAGATATTATCAGGGTATGCCCATCAAATAAATCAACAATTATATGGTATGATTTATGCATGATTCACTACTCCAATGTCGACTTCTTCGGACAGGGACAATCTCTACCTGCGATCGTATATTATAGTACCCAAAATTTTAACTCAACAGAGGCAGTTAAGAGTTTCATAACGTTTTTTGATTTCGGATTGTCTGATTACAGACAAATTGCACACTGCAAATAGCATACCTCTGCCTAATAGCAATCAAGTTCGGTATGGGATGGTGCAGTGTGCCAGACATATAAGCAAAACAGCTTGTGGGGATTCTTTGAATCAGCTTGGCATGGCTATACAGCAAGGACAGGTGGGGTGGAGAATTTTGGGAGCAAGTTGCTTTATAAGGTATGAGGAGTTCTCCTTCGCTTTGCAATCATCTGCTGCTCAGCCAGCACCGCCACCAAGTCCCACCACGGTACCTCCGACTAAGCAAGGTGAGTCTAACAGGTTGAGTGATGAGGATCATACAGGAATTGGATAGATATTTTAGATTGATCATGAGTAATTTGTATACTTTTAATATTTATTTTTTAAGTAATTTCTTTTAACTTTTGAAAGTTTATTTGTCATTATCTATTTATTTTAAGATTTTAATTTTTCTATATAAAAGGATGCATGTAAGATTTTTATTTAGATTAGACTTTGATTATTATTGATTACTGATATTGTTTTCTCCTCAAATTGTCTCTCTTTTCTCATCTCATTTTTCTTCTCTTCTCATCTCTAATTCTTTTCTTTCATAGTCTACATCAATTTGGTATCAGAGCTATTACGATCTACATCAATTTGATATCAGAGCTCAATTTCGATTCATACAAATTACAAAAAGCACATCAATACTATTTGTCAAAAAAAAAAAACATTGTTCATCGTGCGCATTGTTCACTGTTCTTCGCGGCATTGTTCATCGGTAACACTATTCATATTCATCGCGGTACTGTTCATCCAGCTAAAAGAATTATAAAATCACTCCCAAAAGTTTCAAAAATTACAGAAATATCATTAGAAGTTCTAAAATTACGGAAACATCACCAGAAGTTTCAAAAATTGCATAATCATCCCCATAAAAATTTCTAAATTTCAGAATTCCTTAAAAGCAAAGCTTGGTTTATGGTTTGCATAATCCTATAGAAATTTGAAAATAATATTTTTATTCATTAAAGAAATAAAAAATTCGCAAAGGGTTCAAATCATTTGTCAATTACATTCTTGAACTTGTTTTGTTGTCATTACATTGTTTCAAGACTCATTCATGAGTATGTATGATGTCTCTAATCCACACATTTACTCTAGTTTAAGAGTCCCTCCTCGAAGTCTTTATCATAGCAAGTCTAGGTTTGTCAACAAGGATTTAACACCTATTGTCAAGTCAATTAAAAATCCTTCTATATTTTGTGGTATTTCAAATCCCAATCAATTCTTGAATTGGATAGCTAATTTAGAAGAATATTTTGATTGACATGATATATCAGATTTTCATTGCGTCCGTTTTGCTAAATTAATGTTGGTGGGTTCCAACAAGTAGTATTGGTAACCAATCCAAAGAAATTAAGACCCCTTAGGAGAATCACCTATTACTTGGGTTGAAATGAGATATAAATTGAAAGAGAAGTATTTGCATACTTCCTACATGAATCAAGTTTATAACCAATGACTCAATCTTAAACAATATTTTTCTAGTGTCTCTGATTACTTTGTCCAGTTCGATTATCTCATGTACTTGTGTGACATTGTTGAAGAACCTTAAACAATTAATCAATTTATTCTTAAATTGAGACAAAAAAAATAGTTGGGAGGTCAAGTAATACACTTTTAATACGTTAGTTGAAGCCTATCAATATGCTCTAACGTTGCGTTTGGTACGTAGTAATGCTTTTCAATAGGAATGGAATGAGTTTAGAAATTGAATGAACTTGAGAATGGAATAGAATGCGCATTACCATTCCAATGTTTGACAGCTGTTTATGATTAAGTGCTAGAATGAAATGTTCATTCCATTCTTATATTTGAATAAAACAATTTTTTCATTAAGATGGAATCAACTTTAATTAAAATATTCATAGTGACTAAAAATAATTAATAACAATTTTTTTTTATGATTGCGATTGTCTTTAAAAGTTGTTTAAAAAAATTTATAATTAGAAAAAATGAGAATCCATTGAAAAAAATTAAACCCCTATAAATTTTAAAAAATTAGAAAACAAATTCCTTCAAAAAAAAAAAGGTTCACAAAAAGAAATCAAAATAAAAAACTATTCAAAATTGGTTATTCATTTCAAATGAACAACTATAATTCTTTATAAATTCACAAACTATCACAAACTCCCAAAAAAGAGCGAACTTTTCTTTCTTTTCTCTGTTAAGAGAGGTTGGGGTGTTGGGTAGCTCAAATTATATGTGAAAAGTCCCAAAGAGGGGTGAATAGGACTATGGAAATTTTATTGCAATTCCCTCTTAAGCGCAAGTCCTTTTGATCATATTGTTTTAGACTTTTAGTAATTTCCAGAGCAGAGGTATTTTGGTTTTTGTAGACTTTCCAAATCATTAGTCTATTAAATGCCTTCTCTCAAAGTGTGAAATATATTCAAAATTACATAGGAATTTTCTGTTTAAGCTTTAGGCAGAACATACAAGTTCTACACGGACCAATTCTGTAGGATTTTGTCTCAGACTGTTGGCAGTTAACTGGTAGACCCAATTGATTCGACATCGACTGGGAAGGTCTTGGTCAACTACAGTACAGCCTACCGAAACAGGCACCCCTCTCTGCTTAGGCTAATATCCATCCAAAGTAGTACACTAGACCTAACTATATGTCCATAAATTAAGTGAGAATCGAATTACATTAACAATACATGATGTAAAAAAACTAGTACCAAGAGAATAAATATGAGTGACAAGTGTCTTAGATGGTTTGAATACATCTGGTGTAAATCAATTGATGAATTAGTGCAAAAACTGTGTCAGAGGACACATGGTTGAAGGAAAGAAAGGACCCGGGGATGGCCAAAATAACGACGGTTGAATTGTGAAAAGATAGAACTGTTTGGTCTAGGAACTTGATTGGCAATTTACTGACTTGTATTGCAGGCCAACGATAGAAACACATGAAGAAGAGTTGACGAAAGCCTCAAGCTTGAAGACTTCAACTCTGGAATAATTTTATAGCCTTAAAGGGTCTATTATTATCAAAAAAAAAAAACCCATCAATTATAAAAATCTAGCAAATCATGCTTCTGTTAGACATTTTCTCAAACACCTTCAAAGCAAGACCCAAATCACCACAACCCAATTACAAACAGGCACTACTGCAACAATATATGAAAACACTTACATATGTTTATAGATATATTCAACAATCTATGTGAAAAAACGAACAATATAAAGAAAAAGTAAACAAAGTATTGTAATTTGTATCGGTACAGGAGATTAGTTTCGTAGGTGGCGTCAAAACCTTGAAAATAAAAATCAGTAGTAAAAAAAATGAGAAATTACCTGAGATTTGTTGCAAAGGTCGAATTTAATCTGGTCTTGGTCGTGGATTTGGTGCATTAATTGCTTCACCGAAGAGAGTAAAGGAGGGGGACGCCATAGATCTCTGTGAGGGGAGATGCAGTGGCGAGGAGAGAAGAGAAAAGGGATTGGAAGAGACATAGGTGCAAAGCAGAGTGGTTGGAGCAGAAAAGAACAAGGGAGAGTCGGGCTTTTGGTCTTGGGCTTATTACCGCTTCTTTGGGAATGACCAATACCATGTGTAGGTGGGGCATGGCTAATCACTTGGCCCGTGGGATTTCATTGCCATCAACCAAACTATGGAATGTGAATTACTTGGTAACACTCGTTCCATTCACAAGTCCATTCCTACGTACTAAACATAGCATAAAGGTTGAGAGATTTCATAAGAAATCCAACTATAGCGTGATGAGTTCTCAATTACAGCCTGCTGATAAAACACCTTCTAATTTTAATTCCATCATATATGAGTATCATAATTATTTAAATGATGTCCATGTTATTTCTACATGTTTTCCTAATTCCAGGGTGACCGTAGATTTGGATGACACACACTCTCATATACAAAAAAAGATGTTACTCATATCGACTACCAATCCCCTTGTCCGATTTCATCAAATCAGAGTTGATCTCCTTCATACCAACAAAAGTCGATACTTGAAGAAAGTGAGTTTGAACCTTTGTCGGATTCAAATGTTAAGTCACCATTTGTAATAGAACTTTCTGAAAAGTCTGTTGAGTTCACACTTATGAAAGATGTCAAGCATATTGAGTTACCTATTTCAAAATCTTTTGGTGATTATTTTGTGTCTCTTAGTTTAAGTCAATCTAATTTTGATCTCAAGTCTTCCCCTCTAAAATAGCTGACTTTATTCCAATTATCAAGATTTCACTTCAGTTGGTACTTAATTATTTTCACCACCAATGCGTTACTGTTCCTTCTTTGTCATCAATATCTTGTCTCATTGAATACATTTTGTTAAACCTAATGAGAATTGCTTTGTTATTCTCGAGTTTGGACCTAATGCTTATTTGTTTAATTTTTCGTTGACCGTTAGTATTAGTCCAATTTTTATTTGGAGAACATGCTACTTAATCGAGGTACTCCAGAGTCTCCTATTTTATTAACAGGTGTTCATATAGATGAGAATTCTTGCATTTATCCTGATCGATGGAAAAAAGTTGATAGTTCTTTCATTCTAGATGAGATATTATGTCATTTTTATTCTGCTCTTTTAGGGTACTTCTGCTTTGAAGACTCTCCGGAGGAGAGTTTTTCTCAACCGAGAGAGAATGATGAGGATCGTATAAGAATTAAATAGATATTTTAGATTAATCATGAGAGTTATTTAGATACTTTTAATATTTATCTTTTTAAGTAATTTCTTTTAACTTTTGAGGGTTTATTTATCATTATTTATTTATTTTAGATTTTTAGTTTTCCTATATAAAGGGATGCATGTAAGGGTTTTATTTATATTAGACTTTGATTATTATTGATTACTAATATTGCTTCTTCTTCAAAATCTCTCTTTTCTCATCTTTTTCTTCTTCTCTTCTCATTCCTAATTCTTTCTTTTTTTAGTCTGCATCAGTTTGATATCAAAGCTATTACAATCTACGACATTGTAGCCAGGAAAGTAGGTTTTGATTTGATTTAGCTTCTGATACTAAGATGAGACAGAACATGTATGACAAAATCTCTCATACAAGGCACATGAAAGACCAGGCGAAGTGGGAACGAAAAGTGGTCACATAGATGGAGGTGTAAAACAGTGTCGATTCACATGACATTTTGTATTTCTTCAAGCTATCATGATCTTACCCTTTAGCCATACATTTTAAAGAATCGAATAAGTGAACTCTAGTTCAAAGCACTGCATTTATGACATATAGCTATTGATCTCCAATTGAACTCACAATTTTGAGACAATAAAGCATGGAAGACCATGCAATTCAACTCCAACG